GGTAGCCTTAAACTAAATCTAATTGCGTACTCTTTTCAATATATATATTCTTAAGGCCCAAGTACTAATTTATTCTAGGTTGAAATGGGATTCTAGTCATCCAAAAAACAACGAAGGAGATTCCGATCTCCCTCAACAACAGCTCCGCCTGAAAGGCGATTCCATTCTCCCTCACTCGATTCGGCTGAAGAGGCGATTCTCCGGTCTTCCTTGCTCACTCCGGTTGAAGAGGCGATTCCCCGGCCTTCCTCGCTCACTCCAGCTGAAGAGCCGATTCCTCCAAGTCGACATCACTCACTCCGACTGAAGAGACCATTCTCGGTCTTCCTCGCGCACTCCGGCTGAAGAGGTGATTCCCCGGTCTTCCTCACTCACTCCAGCTGAAAGGTGATACTCTGATTTTCTTTACTCACTCGCTCACTCCCTCTTTTCTTCGCTCGCTCGCTCTTTGCTTCCCTCGCTTGCGCTCTCCCTCTCTTGTGTGAGTGAGCTTCGATTAGGTTTCTTAGGGTTCGTAGTGCGGTCGCCGCCGCCGGCTGCATGCAGTAGTGAGGTTATCGATTGAAGAGGAGTGATGTGATTGGGATTGATTTGCAGCGACGGTGTTGAGCGGAGGAGGGATGTCGGCGGCGGGAAGAGGAAGGAAGGAGAGTGGAGGTGGTGATGGAGGAGACATAGGAATCGATAGCCCAATTGCTTCATCTTCCGCTTTGTGTGCAGTGGAATGGTTTACATACGGAGTTATACACAGGAGAAGAGTCCGTTAGTTGCTCATGATTTGGGGTAGGTGTGATTATTTCCTTTGTATCCTTGTAACTGGTTTTTATTTATGGTTTTATCATTTGTGGCAATGTCTCTGTTTTCGATATCCAAAGACACAATTTCTATCAAGATTATTTGTTGGGGTAACTTTTGAGATGTGTAACTATTGTGAACGTGATAAGCTGTGCAGGTGGAAGGCAAGGCTGTTGCCTGTCGGTGACCTGGGGAGGAATCCTGATGGTGCACAGGGGAGGTGAGAAATAACTCAAGCTCTTGCTGTTCTTAATATGTATCATGCTGGATCGAGTAGTAGAAATGTAGAATGTGAACATTTTAGGGAGTTCTGATGACAGGTCTATTGTTCTTGAGGCAAGTAAACAAACCCACTCTGCCACTGGCTTCTGGTGAGTTCTCAATGGCAACTGGGGTTACAATTGTTGTTGCGTCTTTAATCACAGAAAGTGACTGCTAATTCCATTTCATTTGACGATTTGTACTGGTTAACATGTGGCCGATGAAAAATTGGGATGCAGAGCCTTTACACATGGGGTGAAATTTCAGTCCCCTACTCCTTGCTCATTAGATTTCTGCTTGGGAGTGCATACTCTGTTGAAGTAAGCTTACTTTTGCATTAACCCTTTGCTTCATTATTATATGAACAAGGTTTAGTTGAAAGCTTAATCATTTAAGTTTAGTGTTACATATAGCTTCCGTTTGTGAGATGGAAGAGGCATGCATTTCTGGCAGCCAGTTGCATCTTGATCGTGAGGGCAGTCGTTGTCCAATTAGCTTTCTTCAGACACATGCAGGTACACTTATTCTCTTAGTTCCTGGTTTTTCCATGTCTTATAACACATATCCTTACAGTAATAAGAAGGAAATCTGTACAAATATGTGAAAAAAATCTTGCTTGGGAAACTGGTAGCCATTACCATGACCTTGTGTTTGCTACTGCTTTCACGTGCTTTCTTCTCAGCTGTCATTGCACTCTTCAAGGTCCAAACAAATCCTTTAACAGAAATAAACTTCCCAAATGGGTTGCTTTGTCGCTAGTTATATGTAAGTTAACTTCTGGTGCAATACTTTTCATTTTGTTACATTGCAGGAAATACCTGACCTGGATGGACACAGGGACTTCATAATCCAATCTTTCACTGTCAAGCTGGGACAAGAAAAAGTAAGGTTTTGGTAGAGAATCAATACAAGTAGTAGTGTTTGATTATGTCAAAAAAATTATCCTGGGAATGGTTGTTATACTGTCCGGCTACTGACTTTCAGAAACACCATGGCGGAGTGTGCAGTTTGGGTACTGTCTTGCTTCAAACCCATCGAGTTGGCGCTTCTCAGCCGCTTGAATCGTTCTTCCTGCCTTTGTCTTCTTCTCCTTCTTTCCTCGGTAAATCCCCTCCCCTGTCTCTCTGCCCTGCTTTTTTACCTACTCTGTTTTTTCAACCCACCGATCTCTGTCTATGGTCACGGGACTGGATGCTGACGGTCTCTATTGCCAAATCTTGCTTTCAAATTTGTTTGTGCTCTGGTTAATGGCTTCCTGTTCTGTTTTTACTATGCTAGCTGATTAAGAAGACGATATCTTTCCGTTTTTGGTCAACGCAAGATCCTAATCATGTTTGTAAGTGTGTTCCTCTGTGTTAGTCCAGTTAATAACAGACTCCACTTGACTTAAATTATTTTGGTCTTCCTTGTTGTGGCTCTGTGCAAACCTTTTTTTTTTAATATAATCAACATACTTGTGCCTACTAAGTGTTAGATGATGATGCTTGAGATATTCCTCTCCTGGCACATGGAAACGCTTCATAAGTAGTTAAACATGATCATTCTTGTGCGTAGTGGTGGAAATTGCAGTCGGTAAATTTTTATTTTCCTTCCAATGACATAAGAATTAGTTGTTAATTCAGCATAACTGTATTTTCAAGTGCCTTTAAAGTGAATTTTCTTGTTTTATGCAGGTTTGGATTGCAGAATATGGGGTTCATTGGAATCGACGAGCTCCGAGAAGAGCATGGTCATTCCCATGAGAGTAGCGCTGCTTAAGGGAGTCCTCTTCTTCGTGTAATCAAGTAAGTCTGACTCTTGAACCTACTTAGATTTCTTTGAGTATATCTAATTTTCTGAGATGATAGGAAATGAATTTTCTGCATAACTCGTTTTCAAATAAAAGCCTCCCAAGTTCCAGTATTATGGTGCTTGTATTATTGGCCAATTGCTCTATAGGTTCCAGTACTTATCATTACTTTACATTTAGTGGTTGAAGCTACACTTCTTGGTTTGTGTTGCAAGTTGTGACAAAGAAATGCATGGTTTTATACTGTTATTATAATAGTCTAGAGTGTATGACATTTCAAATTATCATGGATGTGTGGTGGCTTGAAGTTGAGCGTCTATTGCTCTGAGATTCAATGGCAATTCAGTTTAGCAGTATTCAGTGGCAATTCAATTATATAATTGGTTTTATCCTGCACTTTTATTTGTAACCAAACAAATTGAATAATGAATATTTATGTCTCTTTGTTTCTGCATATCCCAGTCCAAGGTGCCCGGAAGCTTCTCAGTTTCTGCAGATATCTTCAAGGCTATAATCCTTATTTGTAGGTTCCTTAGCCTCTTTGAGGTTTCATAGTTACAAAGTAATCAGACTTTCAGTTTTATGTATGATCATCTCTTTATGACGAGAATGTTGAGCTGGTTGTTGTTAGAAAATAGGCCCATCAGTTATATCAGAATGTTTGAATAGTGACCAGAATATCATATTTGTAACGAAAGTGTTATTGCTAATGAGGCACCTCTCTTTTGTGACGGTGCATTTGTAAACAATGATGATTTTACAATCATATAATGACCAGAATTACATCTTTGTAACCAGAGTGTCGTTACTAATGAAACACCTTTCTTAAGAATAAAACTTTAGTGACGATTTTGGATGTGAAGCAAAACATTCATTGACCTTTAGTGACGAATTAAGCAAGGGTTTTAACCCTTGCTACGAGCAAATTTTCATTTTAGCTACACTATGTTTAGCGACTCACTTATCAAGGGTTACAACCCCATGCTATGAATATTTTCTCGTTGTATTTTACATTGAAGTGTAACAAGGGTTTAAACCCTTGCTACAACCCCTGCATGGGACTTCTACCAAGAGTTGCTCAAAACCCTTGCTACGTCTAGCAGGGGCAGCTTTGCCAAGAGTTGGTGCAAGGGTTGGGTAAACCCTTGCTACAACTTGTAGCAGGGGTTAGAACCCTTGGTATAGGTTCAAAAAACCCTTGCCATAGCCTTCTTTTTTTTGTAGTGTCCACTTGATCCAATCCATGAATTCACTAATCCATTGGATCCAATCCATTTGATCCATGGATCCTCCAATCCATGAATCGGATCCATTTACCACCTCTAGCTGTGGCAGTTGGAAGAGTTGTCGCGCCGCCATTCCACTTTCCATGTTGCAGATTGCGACGGCGGCCAGGATGAGAGCCACGACGAACAACTTTGAAGAAACGGCCATGTTTGGTGGCGGTATATGTATCAATGGAGGAGATTAATTTCCGGATCTTTTGTTTGGGTTTTGTTGGTGTATCAAGTTACGAAGGAAAAGGTTCTCAAGGTGGGGAGTTTATATAATATATATATATGGGTCAGACTCGTATGCTCCTGACGCATAGCATGTGACAGGTTCTCTAAACCGTTGATCTAATCTAACGATCATTATTAATTGCAATAAAATTAATCATTAATTAACAATGATAACTACGAACTTCACCCATTAAAATTACATACACGCATTATAGTAACCCGACAATTTTTATCATTGTGTTTGATATTAAAGTACCTTATTTCTTTTAAACATAGTTTAATCACCCAAAAATTTTATTGTTGATTATGATATCTCCATCTAAGTTCGTCTCATCTGCTCCTCAATTAAAATAAATTATAAACGAAAGTAAGGCTCATCTCAAGCAAGAGTCTCTTATGCAGAGACATCAAATTGAACCATCCTGAGTTCATTCAATCGGCTAGGAACGTTTATAGGTTCCAATCAACCAATCTGCGATGATCGCCATCGTCAAATCAAATCTCTTTATTTTTGTTTCGAGCACAATGGGCACAGTGTCAGATGGATTTGCCTTCCCAATCTGCTGGGGTTATTTGCTACCGGCAGGAAATGGCGAGCGCCCACTCCCAGCCGCCGGAGAGATGGAGCGCCCGGAGAGAGAGAGGGAAATCTTTCACAATATATCGTCAGTCCGCTGGTTAAATTTTGCCCGGTTTCGTCTTGGAACCAATTCCAACCCTGGGGTTAGGTATTTGAATAGAGTCTCAGCAGATTTGGAAGGCCCTGCAAAAACAAACTTGCTCTTGGTCCTCGGGGTCAGGAATGGACTGATCATCTTGTTGAATGCTAGGTACCACCAGGGCACATTGATGAACACCTGTCTGGCGACGAACTCAGGGTAGTTGTCCTGGAGGATGCTAATGGCTTGATTGGTAGCTTGCCGGAGCTCGCCCTTGAGAGACATGGGGAATTCTTCAGATTGTTGATCTGAACGATGGTGTAGATTCCGGTGGTGCTGAAATCGAGCTTCCGGATGCTCTTCTCGAGGAATTGGATATCGGAGGAATTACCAGTACCTTTTATTGTCAAACACATTAAACCCTACCGCCGCCACGATAGAATTCTACCCTAATTGATGGAGATCAGCTCCAACTCATCCGTGTCCTCTGGAATCCCAAACTCCAAGCCGGAGCATTCAATCACCGTGTGTTTATCGGCATCCTTGAGAATGAAGCCGCAATGGATTTAAGGGTAGTAATTGGGTTTGCTTTGATGATGACAATGAAGTTTTGATTCATTAACCATTCAAGCAAAATTTTAATGGAGAAATTTTATATCAATTTTGAAAATTTTGGGTGTTGAATAACAGAACTCTACGAGATTAGGTATCATACGAGAAAATATTATGGTAATTATTGTTAGAGGATTTCATAGCACATATAATTATTTAAGGGGTGCAAGTAGTAATTATTATTAGTAATTTCATCATAATTTATAATGACCGTTAGATTAGATCAACAGTGGAAAGATCTGGAGCATAGTATGCGTCAGGAGCATACGAGTCGTATCCATATATATATATATATATATATATATATATATATATCATATATTAAATAAGGGGTCAGATTGGTGTACGTCAGGCGTATACTATACGCCAGGTACTACTAGTGAGATATCTCTATCTAGACCATGAATTAAATCGAGTTTGAGGTATGATACTATACCCTAACCTCTAATGGATAAACCACTGGCTCCGATTTTCTAAACCCCAACCCGAAGTTTGATTTAATGAAAAATAAAAATTAACCGTTGAGATCGGTCGGAGCTCATCTAAGTACATCTAACGGCTAGATCACCTGACGTATAGTATACGCCTGACGTACACCAGTCATCACCATTAAATAATGGGAGTTTATATATTATTATATAGCCATGGTAGAGAAAAGGTTGAGCCGCACGTGTGTGGTAAGTTAGGTCAACTCCTCCTTACCCATAAAATTGTTGGAAATTTGGTTGAACCGGACTAACCAATTCAAACTGGTTTTGGGTTGGACCGACCAACCGGTTTGGGATTAGACCGACTGAACCAAAAATATAATTCCGTGAAGGGACACATCCCTTTGCCCTAGTGGCGGTTGCATTATTTTATGGATAAGGATAACCTTATGGATAGAGGCAACCCTTCATGTGGATAGGGATAACCTTTCATATGGATAAGGATAACCTTTCATATGGATAAAGGCAACCTTTCATGAAACAATGCATGGGCCTCCTATAAATATGTGTGGGGTGGATGATGCCACATACCATCAAATAGATTTTTCTTCTTTCTTCCAAAAATTTCTAAGTGTGCTTTAGAGTTCTTGAGCCTAGAACCTAAAGTGGTGATAGTTTTATCCTCGGGAGAAATTTTCTGTAACCCAAGGCTTTGTAGAGGGTGGAAATATTCTTTACGGAAAGTGAACGTTGTTCACGACTCTATCATAATCCTAGTCACCCGGTCTCGGGCTATCGTACGTACACCCTCGTCCCTAAAAGTCCCAACAATCGTAAAGAATGTTTTCCGGTATGATGGCTCGAACGGCTCTTTGCAAGAAACCGGTTCCGGTCTATGGAATTATGAGAATGTTCGATGATGAGTTTTTCATCGATGATAGTAGAAGATGGGTCTTCTTCATAGTAGTCTCATGGGGTATTCCATATTCGGAAGGTAACTTGGAAGAGGGATGATTCAAAGATGAGGAAGAAGGAGAAGGCTTTGTAAAATGGAGAAATAGAAGAATGACAATTGCCTTTGTGTAGGTCACATACTCAATGGTTAATTTGTCTAGTTCTCTATTTGACGTTTTTGAAGTTCTAGACAAATTTGGATTTGTCTAGTGGTTTGGTGGTGTGATTTTGTCTAGGGGTTTATGTTATTTAAACCAAGGAGACAAAATATAGATAAAATTTATGATGATTCTGGTAATGGAGTCATTGTACATTTGTATGTATATGACATGCTTATCTTTGGGACCAATAAAAGATAAGTGAACTATGATAAAAAGTTGTTATTTAAATTCTCCGTGTGGGACATGGGGGAGGCAAATGTGATTCTGTTTATTGAATCAAGCGGTACAACAAAGAATATTCCTTCTCTCAAATTTTCTTCATTGAGAAGGTACTTGTAAAGAAAATTCCTTAGTGGAAATTGTCGTGGGTTAGATACGACAATGGATCCACAAGTATGGAACTTATGGTTAATACTGGCCAACCAGTTTTACAACTGGAGTATTCCATGTTAAATGATTTTGATGTATGCATGACTTGCACGATGCTAGATATCGCATATGTGATAGAATAATTAAGTCGGTACATGATGAATCATAGTGCTCATCATTTGAAATTAAGTGAGGCGTGTACTAAGATATCTAAAAGGCACATTGTATTGAGTGAGTTATAGTGGCTTTCCATCCATTTTTGGAATGATTTGTTGATGTTAGTTGGATTTCTCATGTTAAATGTGATACTTTAACATTGAGATGGGTCGTTTTGCTTGGGGGAGGTGCCATATTTTGGGCCTCTAGAAAGCAAACTTGCATCACTAGTTCCATTATGGAGTCAAAGTTTGTGGCCTTGATTTCTCTTAGAGAAAATACATTATTGTTGAGATGTTTGGTTTATGACATATATTTATGGTCTAAACCAATCTCACTTATTGCTACCTTTTGTGATAGTAATGCTAATTTGGCTAAGGCACATAGTCAAGTGAAAATGTCAAGTACGGTCATGTGGAAGTAAGACACGATAAAATCTTTGAACTGATCATTCATAGAGTTGTGTCTAAACAATATGACCAGACTCGAGATAATTTGGTTGATCATTTGACGAAGTGGTTAACTACTGACTTGGTGATCAAGTCTGTGAAAGGGATGGGTTTAAAGCCCATATAATTTCTGATCATGGGATACCCAATTCCCCTCTAATACAACGTTAGAGGCTGAATTCAATGTGGAAAGCTCATTCTCATAAATTGAAGCACACAATTTGTCATCCTAAGGTATGTGCTTGTTATCTGCATGAGAGAAGAGGATGAAGTTCAAAACTTTTTAATTGAATCTTTGACAAAGTGTATTATGCGGGTACACGAATAAAAGATTCGACCTACGTAAGCATGAAGTGTAGCCGCTTCAAGAAACTCGGACTTTGGTTTCGTGTGCGCTTATGAGAAGGATTGGACACATGGCGGTTAATAGTGTCAAGGCACTTAGAAGTTTGAAAACTTAAGTGTATATTATCTTCGAATATTCATATGAGTCAATGGCTTCAATCGTTACCGACACCCTTGTATTCGAGTACTCGTCAAGTGTAATAAACTAAGGTGAAAATTCAATCGTCACGACATTTTCATTTATGCTTAAGTTTTGTTGGAAGAGTGTTGTGATTTTAGTGAATTCTATAATACACTAAAATGGGGGAGGAATGTTGAAAATTTGGTTGAACCGGACTAACCAAGTCAAACCAGTTTTGGGTTGGACCGACCAATCGGTTTGGGATTAGACCGACCAAACCAAAAATCTAATTCCGTGAAGGGACACATCCCTTTGCCCTAGTGGCGGTTGCATTATTTTATGGATAAGGATAACCTTATGGATAGAGGAAACCCTTCATATGGATAAGGATAGCCTTTCATATGGATAGAGACAACCTTTCATATGGATAAAGGCAAGCTTTCGTATGGATAAATACAACCTTTCATAAAACAATGCCTGGATTCGGCCCCTATAAATATGTGTGGGGTGGATGATGCCACATACCATCAAACAGATTTTTCTTCTTTCTTCCAAAAATTTATAAGTATGCTTTAGAGTTCTTGAGCCTAGAACCTAAAGTCGTGATAGTTTTATCCTCGGGAGAAAATTTTTGTAACCCAAGGCTTTGTAGAGGGTGGAAATATTCTTTACAGAAAGTGAAAGTTGTTCACGACTCTATCACAATCCTAGTCATCCGGTCTCGGACTATCATACGTACACTCTCCTCCCTAAAAGTCCCAACAAAAATTGCTGGCCGGGTTGGTAACGAAAAATGGTGTCTCATATACTCATAACAATTCTTTGATTTTGCAATAGGTTTGGCTTCAACTTTTTTTCCCTCGTACTCTTGTTTGTATGGAAACAATGAACTTCTATCCGATCAAAAACTTACTTCCACTTGAATCTTGACAGACAACCCACTAATATTCTGTCTCATCTAGCTAGTTCAACCACCAACGTGTGCCACATCTGGTCAAGAAATGTATGGTAATAAGAGGTCTCGACTTTTTTGTCACACCTTGAATTTATTCATTTCAAAGTATCGACATTATGTTTGGTTAATAGGGGAGTAAATTTTAGAGGGTGTGGATTTGTAAGGGTGTAACTTGTAAGTAAAGGATTAAATTGTTTTTTAGAAGGGAAAAAATCGGGTTATAAAGTGATTTGAAAAGGTATGTTAGATTATTATATATAGTGGTACGGTCCCCATTAACCCTCACAATTTGCACCCTCCGTTTGCACTCCAAAAATCATTTTCTTATACACGTATGTTGATTCCACGTAAAATTGAAACCAACTTTGATATATTTAGTGAACAAAGAAAATTTTACTTCGAATCAATGTATACTTCAAGAAATGTGGATTTTGCAACCAAAATAAAAAACTTTACAACCAATCTAAAATCCCACGTAGATTTTATTTTTTTGTACATTAGATGGTATATATACTCATAAGTCATAAAAGCGGGTGCTTTTGTTTTATATAAAAAAATTATCGTACAAACTTAAATTTTATCTTTAATGTTATAGTACAAACTTAGTTTAATTTGTAACTAAATCTTTTCATACATATTTTTTAGGGGCTTGCTATTTGCCGCCAAAAAAATTGCTATTTGCCGCCAACTAAAAAAAAAGTATATATGTACATCCTTTGTTAAGAAGTTTCACAATCTACAACATATTCAACTTTCAGAAAACGTATTGAATCAGAAAAAATCGACGCTCGCCGGAAAAGTCGCCGGAAAATCATCGGGAAAGCCCATCCTCGACGTAAACTGCGGACACGCATCCATGAATCATCACTAAGCAGGTGCGTCAATTTTTTGTAGTTTCGAACAATTTTTCCGACGATTTGCAACGAACAGACGGTGGGCCGAAAATTTCCGGCGGCTGGAACCTGGCCGGGCCGACGGAAATCGGTGGCCGGAGCCTAGCTGAGCCACAAAATATTTTCGGCTATAAGTGTGCAAACATCCGATCCAAACATAAGTAGTCAAACATCCGATCTAAACAAAAACATGGAAACATGGAGTCTAAACATAAACATCCGATCCAAACATACATAAGTAGTCAAACATCCGATTTAAACATAAATATGCAAACATGCAGTCTAAACATAAACATCCGATCTAAACATCAAAACAACTAAAAATCCCCTGGAGGGGGGAGTCCCTGAGAGACCCGATACTCAGTCCACACATCCTGCACTCCGTGCAGTGCCCTGTAGGCTCGTCGAGAATGCTCAAGAAACTCCTCCTCGGTCCCTGCTGCTCGACCCGCAGGTGCAAACGTGTACAAAAGGTCGCGAGCACGCTGCACAAAAAAAACAAGAACAATTGTTGGTTCACGCTAAGTATATTTATAATAGAGTAACGATCTAGTGGTCAAATCTTACCGCTGCGGAGTCAACTAGTCGATCTGCATCTCTATCATCCCGTAGGACTCTACAATGAGAGTGCGCCACGAACCAGTCAAGATAGTCGATCGTAGTCTCATATGGATACGTCATCCAGGGCTGAGAGTACATGTCTATATGAACCATTTGGGATAGCAAAGCATCCCATGCAGCATCAAAACTCTCAGGAACCCGAATGACATATCCACCAGGTGCCTCTGGTCGGTCTGCTCGCTGAGGACGCGAAGGGGGAGGCGGTACCATCTGTCGGTATCCAAACTGTCGGAGGCAACGGGCTGGATCATAGAACTCGCCTATATCAGCGAACCGGATCACTCCAGTGTACAAAGAGCGACGCACTGCCTGATGAGGCCTCTGAGTTGTCAAGTTGTCAAGAGCTCGACGGTAGAACGCCAACCTCACACTGGGATCAGCCACAGAACCAGGTGTCGGCTGCCCAATCCATCGTGAAGCCCAAGCCTCATCAGGTCCAACGACAGGTGGCTCAAAGTGAGATGGCCTGAAACCCGGAAAGTACTCGTAGATCCAACACTGCAGAAGTGCGAGACAACCAGCCACCCCCTGGCACCAGCACGAGACGCCTGACCAAGGCATCTGTAGAACCAAGCAAGTGCACCTGACGCCCAACTGTACTGATCTATCTCCTCCAACTCGTCCAAAATAGGTTCACCACCGGCCGAACTCTGTCTCTACTCTTGTCCACAAACAAAGTGGACCCCAACAGTAACAACAAGTACGACTGCGCCTCTGTCACATGTGTCTCGTTCACCTGCAAGTATCTGGACGCCATCTCCGCAAGAAAACCACCCTTCTCGTACCACTTACCCCTATTACCATATCCAGGGGCCTCCGAACGACCACTCAACTGCTCCGAGTTCATCCCAAGAAGCGCACACAAATCCACCTCCGGATGGTCAAGCTGCGCAGAAGTCCTACTCATCAGTCGTCCCTCAACAGGAATCTGCAATAAGTACTGAACATCGTGGAGGAGGATCGTCATCTCTCCAAAAGGCAAGTGGAAGGTGTTCGTGTCTGGCTGCCACCTCTCCACAAAAGCTGAGATCAAAGCCTCGTCAATCGCTATCTTGCGGAACATAGAGTAGATCAGGTGCTGGAGACCTGACTACTGAACCAGATCCTCCCCCTCAACATGACTAAACACGTAGCTACCCAGATAATCAACCGCCGATGTACGGCTGTAGCAACTGATGACCCCTCGATCTCCAAGCCCCGTCCAAAGCGCATAGGAAGCATGGCCACGGAAGCTCCTAATGAGGCTAGGATCCGTAGGTCCACCAGGACACTCACCAACAAGCTCCCACGGTGGAGGACCACTCGAACGTCCTACCCTACTCCGTCCAGTCCCCGAGCTCTCTGTCTCCTCACGAGCAGGTGGTACTAACCGCCTAGCTCGGTCCCTATACATAGCAGGACGTGATGTTGTCGTACAAGACGGCACTCGTCCATGTCCACGCTTAGGTGGAGGGACCTCGATATCCACATCAGTATCGTCCTCATCAAACTCAGCCGAGACCACTCTCGATGCATCACCCTGGTTCCTCCCATGGGAACCAGACGCCCGTGATGCCGAACGAGCAACTACAGTAGGAGCCTCTAATTCATCCTCCCCTAAATTTGCCTCTGACTGATGTCCAATATCTCGAGAGCGCTTCTTCTCCTTATTCTTCTTATGCACCTTCCTTCGTGTTGATGCATCAACAATCCTACCATTGAATCTATGCAACTCACTCCCACTTGCATCATCCATACCTAATTATCTACAAATTTACACAATATCATACTTAGATGCGCACTAATTAATTAAATTTCTATTAACTAATGTACTATTAACATTAATTGTTAATTAATCACAAGTTAATTAATTTTCTATTAACTAAGGTACTAAATATTAACATTAATTGTTAAATCAATTCTTAATTAATTAATTTTCTATTTACTAATGTAAGTAATTAAACATTCCTACAACTATTAAAAAAAACACTTATACACCAATTTAAATAAATATTAACACTAATTGATAATTTCTATTAACTAATTAAGTAATTTTTTATTGACTAATTAATTAACATATGAAATTAAATTAAATGCAAAAACTGGGCGGGCTGAAAAAAACTGCGGTCGGTGCGTCGTCGGGCCGAAAATATTTTGTGGCCGGTGCGCCGGCCGGCCGAAAAATTTTTGCGTCCGGTGCGACGCCCGGCCGAAAATCATTTTCGGCCCGTCGTCGCCCCGGCCGCCATTTTTTTTCGGCCGGCGATGATCACGCCGCCGGAAAAATTTTGGCCGGCGTGTTCGGCGACCGGCCGAAAAAAAAAATGCGGTCGCGGCGCTGCAGGGCCGAAAGAAATTTTCGACTGGGCGTCGCACCGGCCGAAAATTTCTTTCGATTCGGCGGCGTTCCGGCCACCGTTTTTTTCGCCGGAAAACTGGAAAACTTGCCGAAAAAAGTAAACTTACTTGTTTTCCGACGATTGAGGACGACGGGAGGTTGGCCGGCGACGGAGGAACGATGCCGGCGACGAAGGCACTGGGCTCGTCGACAAAAATGTTTTTGTTGGAATGAGTCAAATGTTAATGGTATCCGAATTTATATAATGAAAGGAAGGGAAGGAAGGGAAAATTCAAAATTTGAATTCAAATTTTTTTTTTTAGTTGGCGGCAAATAGCAATTTGGTTGGTGGCAAATAGCTGTTCACATTTTTTAATGTACGAGGTGAACATTTTTCTTAGCGTTATGGTACAAATTTAATTTGTATCTATACATTTTCGGACAAATTCATTAATAATACAAATTAAATTTGTACATTTGTACATTAAACATTATAGCGCAAATTCAACTTATACCTAAAACCTTTTGTGCTTATGAGCATGGTATAATTCCTCAACATTATATTTTTTATTGTTGTGATTCTAAGGATTGGAAATAAATAAATGAAATGTAAATATAGAACGAAAAATTGGTTGGATACTTGCATGTAGGGTTGTCAATCAGCCGTTTATAAACGATTTGAACTCGAACTCGGCTCGTTTATAAACGAGCTGAGTCGAGTCGAACATGAGCCAGCTCATTTCTTAAATCTTGAGTCATCATTAAGATCGAAAGTTTGGCTCGAGCTCAACTCTAAGATAATTTATAAAATAAATACCGTAATATTTATATGTCATGCATATATGAGATGTATTTGCTCGCATAGTCAATGTATTAGACACCATATGAGGCTATAGATACAATTTATTAATTATATGCATCATTAACAAACCAACTCATAAAATATAGATCAATTTTCTCATAAGCTTTAGTCGAGTTGGCTTGCTAATCACAATGTTGGGACATCTCATTAGCTCAAAATGAGACAATTCATGAGTTGTACTCAACAAGCCACCTCATCAAACTAGTTCACGAGCCGAACAAGGTTGAGTTCAAGCTCGACTCATTCATTAATGAGACAAACTTTTTTTTAATCGAACGAGCTTTTATCGAGTTAAAAACCGAATCGCTCACGAATAGTTCTAACTCATTAACCGCCCTACTTGCACATAAGTTTGAGACTGCTTTTTGGGCAAGGCAAGCTAGTTGGGCTAGCATGTCCAGACTCTGGTGGGTTGTGACACTCCTGACGGGCCTAAGCCCTAAGGTTAAGTTTTGGGCCTGGCTTTAAATCTGGTTGAGAAGGGGGAGTTGAGAAATTTTGGCTCTTCGCCTTGGTGAGTATTAAATTATTAATCAATCAAATTAAACAAGAGAAGTTTATTGACTCTATTTCATATGAATATAAACTATGAGAAAGGTAACTTTTGTGTGATTGGCCAGAGATATGAAACACCTAATTATGATAAAGGCAGTCGCAAGTAATTGTTCATATTATGTACAAATAAATTATAAGGAATTGCGAATTCGCTCGTTTAGTTAATAATCAGTAGACCTATATTTACATCGAGAATTAAGATTATTTAATATTCTCATCATATATATGCATTCTCAATTGTGGTATTTAATTATTAGAATCATGAATTTTAGCTTTTGTTTATGCAAAATCCGACAGTGCATGATTAGTTAGCTAGGCATGGAAGCTAGTTTGACCGTCGTGAAGTGATCATTAGTTGTCGTTCAAAACAAAGGAGATACGCAATGGCAGCAGAAGCAGAAGAAGAAAAGAAAAAAAGGCAGTCGTACTACATTGTACGCCATCAAGTAGGAGTCTTTCTTCTTCTTCTTCTTCTCCTCGCCCATTCCTAGTTATATTCTCTCAACTCCACACTCAATTCAGCTACTGCTGCGCTGTGTTCCTTGTTTAACTTCGATCGATCGGTGCCTTCACGCATAGGCCATAGCAAAGCAAGCAATGTGGCAGAGTAACATTGATTGTGCGGACCTGCAGCCAGCAAGCACCTCGCTCGCTCGCTTCATCATGACCACGATTTAGTTTGTTTGCCATGCGTGGCTATGGGGAAAACCATCAACTGAACTGCATGCCTTGCTTGCCTTGTAAGGTTTAGGAGATCAGCAACTCATGGAAGGAAGGAAGGAAGGATCGAGAGAGTACTTAATTTGGGGGTGTACTTATTTGTTTCTTTCGGTTCCTATGTATAAGCTACAAACATATAGGGACCCAAACCAACGCATCGGTTCGGACTAGTTCCGTAGCTAACAAACTCTTTGGGCTCTAATCCGGTCGTGAAACTATACAGGTAGCGCGGTAGGGTAGTACCCAACTAAATTAAAGTCGTGTGTTAAATAGGATGGACAATGGTTTGTTGGGTGTATTTTGGTCTTTAATTGAGTTATCTGTGTCTATTAATGAGTTTGTACATTTGTGATCCACTATCAGCCAAATGATCTCTTGTCATCTATGTTGGGATATATAGTGGGGGACTCGACGATAGAGGTTGTACTTTTTTTCCCCTGAATGGTTATATTTTACGAAGCTCCAATCACACATGGATCACACTTATTCCTAATGTTAATTTAATTAATTTAGGAGGTGAAGATCTATACAATAAGACATCTGATTTTTTTTGTCAACAAGGGTCATCTCTTAGCATTGGTATCCATTTTGTATATTGTTTTTATCCAAATTGAAACACTCAAACTAGACCTGGCAATCGGGTCGGGTTGGGTAAGTTCGGGTTGGGAACTTCGGTTAAGGGCCGGGTCATATTTGGTTGACTTATTTCGGGTCAAATATTGACCCAACCCATTCGATTTCGGGTCGGGTTATAGGTCATTTCGGGTTATGAGCGTTCTCAGAAACAATATCAAACATGCTTCATATTTTCTTAAAGAACACATATATTCAAATATGCATGACAATAGTTTACCTAACACATGTCAATTAACATATTCTCAAATCCTCCCACGCTAATGAAATGAAATATAAATTGCGCAAATCGTCAAAAAACAATCACAAGAGTAATACTACTACAAGAAACACATGATATTTGATTATCCTAAAACTCCAAACATGTCATTGAAATCCTTGTGATTTTTTTTCAAAATCTCACCAATTTATGAGTGATTTTATCATATTTTTTGAGTAATATATTAAATGGAATGGGTCTAACAGGTCGACCCGCTAACCAACCCAACCCGACCCAAAAAATCACGTGTTATCGAGTTCGAGTCATTCGGATTTTGGGTTACAAAAATTTCTAGTTTTTGGGCGGTTTCGGGTTGGGTCAACGGGTCGGGTTGTAATTTGCCAGGTGTAACTGAAACTCAAAAAGATATCGAAAACGTTGAAAATTTGGTGATGTTATGGGCATTGCATAATCTCATTTAATTTTAACTTATTCACAATTTGGTAATTTGGCTAAGTACGTACTTGAGAGTTGACACATGAGTTTGAGACGACTTTTGGGGAAAGGCAAGCTAATTGGGCTTAGCTTGTCCAGCCTCTGCTGGGTTGTGGCACTCCTGACGGCCCTATACTCTAAGGTAAAGTTTTGGGCTGGGCATCTACTTGGGAAGGAGAGGTCAAA